CCTCGGCGACGAGCGCGCGGGCGGGGGCTCCCACCGGCAGGCCCGGGCACCGGGCCGGCTCCTCTGCGGAGTTTCGGGTTCCCGGGGCCGGTGACTGGGGCCCCGCGCGTCCGAGCTGCCCAAGGGGGGCGGGCGGGCGGGCGGAGGAGGCCCGGGGCGAGCGGGGTCTGCGCTGGAGGAGAACCGCAGGCCCTTCTTGCAGAGGCTCCAGGCTGCTCCGGGGGTCTCGTCGCCCCGGGTGCTGCGCATCAGACCGGTGTCTACAGGCGGTGGTCCTTTCCCACTCGAGACCGGCGTCCCTGGGGGTCTTCAGCGGCGACCCCAGCCAGACGGAGTGAGGAGGGCCGGCGGCGCGGGCTGGTCTCGTAAGTGGCGGCGTGGACGGGTGAGGGCGGCTGGCTGGCTGCCGGGACCGCTTTTCCTAGGCTTTTCCAAGGCTGCCCCGAGAGAGCCGACAGACCTAGGGCCGTAGCTAGGAACCTTGGCCTGAAGTCGTCTCTGATTGCCACGCCAGCTCTACCACTTATTTGGGCAGTGTGCTCACAGTTTGGGGGACTCGCCTTTTTTGTTAGAGAATGAGGGCGTGAAAAGAAATTATTTTCTTTCCCCTTTACTCCTGATGTTCTTTGAGGTTACTAAAACATACTTTATCGTATTTGCCATTTCTTATTTTACTTTGTTTCAGCCATGCAGTGGACTGAAACAGCTTTGCTTACCTTGGGTTAAGGACTTTTAACATTTAAAAAATACGTGTACTTTTATCTATTAGGACAGATTTAAAATACATAGTCCCTTTGGAGCACTGTGATAAACGGAATTAAAAATTCATGATCCCATTGACAGGAGATAGTCACTTAACATTTTGGTGCACTTCTTTTTTTGTTGTTGTTGTTGAGTTGGAGTCTCACTCTGTCACCCAGACGGAAGTGCAGTGGCCGCTCCCGGCCACCGCACCCTCGACCTGCTGGGCTTTGGCGATCCTTCCACCTCAGCCTTCCAAGTAGCTGGAACTACAGGTGCGCGCTACCTTGCCCAGCTAACTTTTTATTTATTGTAGAGATGAGTTGCCCAGGCGGGTCTCGAACCCGCGGGCTCAGGCAGTCCACTCACTTCAGCCTCCCAAAACGCGGGATTACAGACTGAGCTACCAAGCCCGGCTGGTACACTTCTTTTAGTCAATAAATGTATGCATTTTTTTCTGTTTTTTTTTTCTTTGAGTAGGACTCAGTCCGTCGCCCAGGGTGGAGTGCAATGGCATGCTCACGACCACCACAACCTCGACCTGTTGGGCTCAGGTGATCCTTCCGTCTCAGCCTTCGAAGTAGCTGGAACCACAGGCATGCGCCACCACACCCGCTAACTTTTTGATTTATTGTAGACACAAAGTCTTGCCAAGTTGTCCAAGCTGGTCTCAAACCCATGGACTCAGGCATTCCTGTCACCTCAGCCTCCCAAAGTGCTGGGATTACAGGCTTAAGCCACTGCACCTGGCTTCTTTAGAAATATTTTAAAGCTGTACTGATTGCTTATCACATCCTTTTCATCTGAAATTCTTAACTCATTCTGTGCAATAAATCTACCTTGTCTCCACATACATCGCTCTATTATGAGTTCTTACTGAAACCTAACTAAATTTTGCCACGTAGTCTTTGACAAGATTATAAAGGGAATTTTAAAATTATATGGTGAATTTGGCTATTTGCTTAAGGAAATGTTTGGAATGATAAGCATAATTTTTTTTCACAATGATGTCAGAATTTTTATTATGTGAAAAATGAAATGAAGTCAAAGTGTAATAATGCAGAGTAAATGACATATTTGTTGTAGGTATATCTTCCTGATTTGTATGTTATGACTTTTTAAAAAAATACAGAGGTTGGCGTGGTGCAGTGGCTCAAGCCTGTAATCTCAGCACTTTGGGAGGCTGAGGTGAGGGGATTGCCTGAGCTCATGGGTTCAAGAACAACCTAGGGAACTTGGTGAGACCTCATCCCTAAATGAATCAAAAAATTAGCTCTGCTTGGTAGCACACGCCTGTAGGTCTGGCTACCTTGGATGCTGAATTGGAAGGATTGTCTGAGCCTTGCAGGTCGACACTGGGGTGGCCATGAACATGCCACTGCACTCCAGCCTGGGCGACGGAGTGAGACTCCAACTGAAAAAAAAAATGCAGAGGTTCCACGTTTTTAAATGGTTAAATTTATTGATTTTAAAACATTTTTATGGCATTTGTTGTATCATGTGTAGAGAAATCTCCCCCCGAATTACACAGATATTCACCTGTGTTTTCTTTAGGCATTTTTATGGCTTCCATATTTTTAATTCTAATCCATCTTGGAGTAGCTTGTTGTAATCAGTGAGATAGCTATCTTTATTTTCTTTCAAGTGTTAATTCTCCTATTAATCCAGTTTTACTCATGGCTTTGAAATTCTACATTTATTGTATGCTAACTCATATATTTAGACAGTTATGCTTTTTTCTTTTTCCTTTTTTTTTTTTTTTTTTGAGTCAGAGTCTCATTCTATTGCCCAGGCTGGAGTGCAGTGGCACAGTGCTTACAGCCACTGGAGCTTCAACCTGATAGGCTCAGGCGATCCTTCCACCTTGGTCTTCCAAGTAGCTGGAACTATAGTCATGCACCACCACCTCTGGCTAATTTTTTTTTTTTTTTTTTTTGAGTTGGAGTCTCACTCTGTCGCCCAGACTGGAGTGCAGTAGCTGCTCCCAGCCACCACAGCCTCAACCTGCTGGGCTCCGGTGATCCTTCCGCCTCAGCCTTCCAAGTAGCTGGAACTACAGGCGTGCGCTACCACACCCGGCTAATTTTTGATTTATTGTAGAGATGAGGTCTCACCAAGTTGCCTAGGCGGGTCTCGAACCCACGGGCTCAGGCGATCCACTTGCCTTGGCCTCCCAAAGTTCTGAGGTTACAGACATGAGCTACCACACCCGTCTTGCTTTTTTCATCTGTAAGCTCGTGTCAAATGTCCTTCTGACTATGATAATTTTATAATATATGTTATTACATTGGAACTTTTCACCCTCATTATTTTATATTTCCAAAAGTCTTCAAGCTTTTTATTTCCTTTTTTTTTTTTTTTTTTACAGATGAACTTTAGAATTACTTGTTTGAAGAACAGATTTTTGAGGCCAAATGCGGTGGCTCATGCCTGTAATCTTAGCACTTTGGGAAGCTGAGGAGAGGATTGCCTGGGCCCAGGGGTTTGAGACCACCCTGGGCAATTTGGTGAGACCTCATCTTTGTAATAAATAAAAAAATTAGCTGGGCGTGGTGCTGCACACCTGCAACTCCAGCTACTTGGAAGGCTGAGGTGGAAGGATTGCCTGATCCCAGCAGGTCCAGGTTGCGATAGCCTTGAGAGTCCCGCTGCACTTCAGCCTGGGTGACAGAATGAGATTTCAACTCAAACAAACAAACGAAAACACACTCATAATTGAAAAAATGCATAAAATATGCAGGAATATATTTGATAAATATGCAAGACCCATATGAAACAAACTAAAAATACCAATGAGGACTATAAAAATCGAATTACATAAATGTATTATTTGATCTTCTTCTTGAATCGTAAGACTTCATATTGTAAATATCATCTGACCTCAAATGATTTAAATAATTAATTCAACTCCAGTCATAATGTCAGAATTTTTTTTTTTTTTGAGTTGGAGTCTCACTCTGTTGCCCAGGCTGGAATGGAGTGTCACAATCATGGTTCACTGGCAGCCTCAACCTCCAGGGATCAAGTGACTTTTTCCCCTCAGCCTCCCGAGTAGTTGGGGCTACAGGGACCTGCCATGCCACCCATCTAATTTTTTAATTTTGTTTTGTAAATATGAGGTCTTACTATGTTGTTCATGTTGGTCTTGAACTCTTGGACTCAAGCAGTCCTTCCTCAGCTTCCCAAAGTGCTGGGATTACAGGCATAGTCATAACCACCATGCCTTGCCTAAGAGCTTAGTTTTTTTTTAAAGCAGAATTTATTGATGAGACAGAAAAAGCTCCCAGAGCAGGAGGGGACCCAAATGGTTGCCCGAACTTGTTTTTTTAAGTGCTGCTTTTTAGTGTGATGGAGTGAGGCATGTTCTTCATTTGTATTTTGTAGAAATAGTGACTGCATGTGTACATGGAAATAAGAGCTGATTCCTAGGTTTATGTTGTACATATGTGTGTACATAAATATACACAAATAAAATGATTTTGGTAGTAAATGCCTTGAACATAGCAAAATAGAGAAATAACATTTTAGTTCTGCTGCTTAATAGCTGTGTAATCATGGACATACTCTAAATTATTCTAAGTCTCAGTTTTCTATCTGTAAAATGGAGATTATGTTAAATGCCTTATAGGATTATTTATAAGGGTTAAATTGTAAAATTCTTAGTATATTGACTCAAATATGGGAAGCATTCACATGTTAGTTGTTACTGTTATTACAAGGCACCAGTCACTTTCGTTTTAATATCTCACTAGTTCCTCATACTTCCACTGTGAGGTTCACATAATCCTCACCATTTTAGCAAAGAGAGAAAGAGAGGCTCCAAAGGCAAGAAAGGAGAAGAAAAGAGTAATAATAAATATAGGCCGGGCACAGTGGCTCAAGCCTGTAATCCTGGCACTTTGGGAGCTGAGGTGCAGGGATTACCTGAGCCCACGGATTCGAAACCAGCCTGGGCAACTTGGTGAGACCACAAGTCTACAGTAAATCAAAAAATTATCTGGGCATGGTAGTGTGTGCCTGTAGTTCCGGCTACTTGGAAGACTGAGGCGGAAGGATCGCCTGAGCCCTGCAAGTCAACGCTGGGGTGGCCAAGTATGCCCACTGCACTCTGGCCTGGGCACAGAGTGAGACTCCAACTCAAAAAAACGAAGTAAATAAATATAAGAACCACAATAAATAGAAGCGTATTTAACTTGTTAGCATAGTTGTTTTTTTTTTTTTTGAGTTGGAGTCTTACTTTTGTTGCCCAGGCCAGAGTGCAGCAACGTGCTCACAGCCACCACAGCTTCGACCTACTGGGTTTAGGTGATCCTTCCACCTCGGCCTTCCAAGTAGCTGGAACTACAGACGCACGCCACCACACCCAGTTAGTTTTGTTTTTGTTTTTTTTTAGTTGGAGTGTCACTCTGTCGCCCATACTGGAGTGCAGTGGCCGCTCCCGGCCACCGCTGCCTCGACCTGCGGGGCTCCGGCGATCCTTCCGCCTCAGCCTTCCAAGTAACCGGAATTACAGGCACACACCACCATGCCCGGCTGATTTTTTAATTTTATCGTAGAGATGAGGTCTCACCAAGTTGCCCAGGCAGGTCTCAAACTCGCGGGCTCAGGCAATCCACTCACCTCAGCCTCCCAAAACGCGGGATTACAGGCTGAGCC